CAGATACACCTGTCCATGTACGGTACATATCCACAGTATGTGTGTGGATGTATGGCGTATGCTTGTTTGCTTGTATATGTACATCTCTGTGTGTGCCTGCGCACACAAATATGTAGTAAAGTTGCATGCCAGGTTATCGCCAATGCCTCCTGGAGTGGCTTCAAGGTTTAGGGCGGGTTTTTTATGCTCTCACAACTCGGACTAGGCGTGCGGTCGGACTACTGGAACTGTTACAGGAAGGAGCTCAGACAACGCGACCAAAGCTTCTACGCCAGCAATAGCGAAACATCATGTCATTTGAGGTTGCGAATTTCTTGCCTCCCACCTGGCTAGCAGGGGAGCCCACATTGCAGGGTTAAGTCAGAGAGCACAGTTGAATCAAACACAAACGCGCAGGCCGGAAAACTCGACCTTCACCATCATTCGCTCCAGGGTTCTTACAGGTTCTGGGTTTTCAGCACTGACACTCGAACTTGCCGGGCGAAGTTGTGGGCTTTTTAGGTTTTAGAGCTCCGGGGCTCGGAACAAGACCCGAAGGCTACTACAGTATAGGGGCCTGAATAAATAGAATAGGGGTTGGGGTAGCCTATCCTATAATTATAGTAAGGAACCCCCCAAACCCTATTCTAACTATTAAGGTCCCTACAGTATATTACCCTTAAAGATCCTTCATGGTAACCCTTATAGACCCCTTCACAAAGGAAACCTTGTAGACCCCCTTAAAGGAACCCTACTCTAAGTATGAAGGCCCCTTATAGACCCCCTTAAAGAAACCCTACTCTAAGTATGAAGGCCCCTTAGAGTACTTGCCGCGAAGCGTCCTGGCAGAGGCCTGCAGCTCCTGAGGCGCTTGGCCTCAAAGCTCCGGAGGCGCTTTCAAAGAGTTCAAACAAGGGGGGGATGCGCTAAACCCTATAAAATCTACACTAAACCCTATACCCTAACCTAGGGGGAAGGGGGTTTAGTTGCAAAGTTCATAAGCCCCCAAAAGTGTACACTTTCAGTTTTATAGTCGGCAACATTATCTACACTTGGGGCTACTATAGCCTCGGCATTCAAAGAGTTCCTATAGGGCGGGGGGGGGGGGGGGGGTTAAAGGGCTTGCTACAAGGGATTACAATCAAGGCCACTATAGCCTGGCAGAAGGCTTGCCTTAAGGGAGTTGAAAGGGCACCAAAATCGATTAGCATCAGGTGTTGCTAGACTTGATTGCTATGAAGGTTACTATAAGGGGTCCTGTAGGTTGGGATAACGGCAACTGCAAGGGCTTCGGAGCAGGTGACTAAACCGACTACTGTAAGGGTTACGCCGGGCTAGCATATGGGTTACTATAAGGCATTGCTATATCGGATTACTCTGATGGGATCAACAGCGACTGTAAAGATTGCAATTGGAATTGCTAAAAGGTTCATTTGCTTGTCAAGGGCCCGAGGCGTTTAAGGGTTTTCCAGGGTTCGCGCGCGCTCTCTCTCTCTCTCTCTCTCTCTCCCTCCGCCGTTGCATCACTGTAGTAAGGATTTTTATAGGGCTCTTAAGAGGGTTCCTGTCAGGGTGGAGGGCCGGCAGGGTTAAAATTCAAGGAGAAGTGTGCAGAACTTTAGGGGTATCTAGCTTTTGCCGCCTTAGGCTTTGGACTGCCTGAACGAACGCATGATCAGAATGTTGATTGGTTGTTATAATAACGTCTGTGCTGATTCTATGCGGGGTGTCGTTAAGTGTTTTTTAACGTGCTGTAGCATACGGCATGCAAAGCCCTGCGTTCTAAGATCCTCATACCTTGTCCGGGAAGCTTTGGGGTGGTGACTCGATGTCCTATAAGGAAACCTTCGCAGGGCCCCCCCGGATGCGTCATCCCCTTGCTCGGTTCGCTGCTCTAAGTTTTCATGATAACGATATCCTGAGATCGGTTTAGGGTTTAGGGTCCTGAAACTCCCTCGAAGCTGGATTCCAGCGCCCCGTGAACGCCCAAATCCTGCACTGTGCATCCGAAACCTTCTGCCATGTATCCTGTATGCCCCAAACTTGGCACCTGTTCAAAGGTAAGGGGGCCCTTAACCCTAACATGGCCCTACATCTTTTCAGAGGTAACCCGGCCGAGCTTCTCCTTGTAGAAGTCGGCCTGTGCCTTCGGGATCAAGGAATGTAGGAAATGCAAGCTTGGTTTAGGCGTTTAGGGTTTATGGTTATACAAGCTTACTGTACGGGTGGTGAGGGGCTCGGAGTTTCAATGTTTAGTGCCTCAGGTGCTAAGAGCTGCTAAGAGTCTAAGGATGAACGGGTTGGAGGGTTTAGGAAAATTGAAGTCTAAGAAGGATTAACTGACCAGTGGTTTTGGGGGTTCCCTTGGCTCTTTAGCTCCTTATGTAATAGGGATTATCATCATCCCTGGCTCCTTAGCTCCTCCAATATAAATGGTTAGTTATGGAGTGTAGGAGTATGTAGGAGTGTAGGGGCTTCGGGCTGTCTCGGGCGGTGCGATTCAAGCTTACGTTTTGAGGCTATGCAAGCCATCTCCGACGTCCACGGTCCGCCTTAACACGAAAAGGTTCTACCTAAAGGACGTATATAAGGCACTCATAAGGAACCCTCAAAAGGCAGGTTCTTGAGGCTTCGGGTTCAGGTAGGCAATACCAGGCGAGGTCTACCTGAATTACGGTTTTGGAGTTTGAGTCTGTGAAGTTTGGCATGTTGGGGGGGGGGGGGTCTCGGGTATGTACAGCACACCGCTCAGAAAGCTTCCAGGCAAGTATAGGCAGCTCCGCAGTTGCACACGAATCTGCGGGTATTACTCGGCATCCTAGCATAGGCATAGCCCCAATGACAAAGCCTCTGAGCCAGTCCTTCGATGCGAATTCCTTCTGTGCCTTTCAGGTATTCGCACTCGAGCCTCGACCATCCCTGACTTCAGACTGTGAAAGCCTTAATAGTTAGAATAGGGCTTCGGGGGCCCACTATACCATAATTATCACAAGGAACCCCCAGTATAGTATAGGTGCTTAGGCTCCTATATTCGACCTCGACCCTCCATCTATCCTCTATTAGACCCTCAACGCCCCTTATTTGGGACCTTATACCCCTATTTGAGGGTACAAGGAGGGTCCTCGGAAGCCTGAATCAAGGTTTTGAGTGATAAGTGATAAGGGGTTTCTATACCCTCGGGCCTGCAGTCTAAACCTGCTTCCCGCGGTTTAGGGTGTAGGGTTTGAGGGTTTAGGGTTTTAGGGTTGTAGGCTTCAGGGTTTTAGGGCTTTAGGGTTTTAGGGTTTAGGGTTTTAGGGTTTTAGGGCTTTAAGGTTTAGGATTTTAGGGTTTCGGGGTACAACTAGCTAGCACGCGCCCGAATTAGTAGCTTCCTTCTTCGTGCAAAAACTTTTTAAACCGTAATGATACAGGCATACACCAGTGACTAGTAGACTAGTCTATGGTGCGGCTTAGAATGTGAATACCATGCGGGCGTTCATGATCGGCTGCTCTCCACTGACAAAGCATCACTATAATTCAGCCTGTTACCCTCCAAGCTGGCAACAAGGCTTCTTTTAAATAGCGAACTACACACTTTTTTGCCTAAAACCTAAAACCTTAAACCCTACACCCCTGTTCCGAAGTGTTGCCAAGGAGAGGCACCTCGAGGCACGTAACCGCGTTGGCGGCGGGGGGCGGCTTCCTTGGAGGACTGGCGAAGAGAAGCTTGCAGCGACTTGGCGCTGGCGTGTGTTTCTTGACTGGTGAGCGAAGCTATGGCTTGGAGTTTAGGTCTTGGCATGTTTGATTTAGGGTGTAAGGGGGGTTTAGGACATAGTGTTTGGGATTTAGGGTCTAAGGGGGACGCCTCAACACAAATACGAGCATCAGAGTTCTCAGCGTACCGCTCATGAATGTATGACATGTGAAGAAATCGAGAAAGTGACCATGCACATACATGTGTCGTGTGAAATTTTCCGTGATCACCGGTGCATGCTTTTCTTGGGAACGGGTGTGGCGGGGGAATCGACGACTCTCGAAGAAAACCACACTAGTAGGCCATAGCCCGCACAATCGATTGCTAAAGCTTGCATAAAACTAAAGCTTCAAGAAAGGCCCCCAAGCAAGTCGAGGTCGAGCACAAAAGATGAGCCCTAGTCGCTGATCCTGAACCCAAACTTGAACGAGCTAGCTTCGAACCCGACAGGTCTGAAATATCAAGCATCTTAGGCCTGCAAAAGCCGAGATAATGCCCGACACAGCTGATCGATGGTAGCTCGAGTTCATACTATGACCAGTAGGCACAGTACTTCATACAATGATGTGTTGCCCCTGCTTTCACGAATTCTCGCCTTCACGACATGGAACCTTGTCCGTCCAACCAGCTCTCCGTCCTATAAACGCTACAGCTGTGACACGCCAAAATCCTCAAGCGCCCATCTACAGCTGTCCCAGATGAAACCTGGGGACCATTTTCAAGCCGACAAACAAGCGTTAAAGCAGAAAGCATGATTGCTACCACGTTGGTTCTGGAAGCTTCTCATTAAAATAAATATCGGGGTCCAAACATTGTATCGCTCCAAGCCTCATGAAACATGATGTTCTTTGCATGACCCTGAACAAATGCTGCAAAGGTTCTGAGTTGGGGAGGACCTTCCCTTTGCCACGCCCAACAACATCCCTGACAAAATCCCGAGGAAACCCTTAAGCCTAAATCCTGTTTTAGCACAGGATTGTGCGAATCCTGCCTGGATGTGCCGCACCATAAACCCTAGACCCTAAATCCCAAACCCTATGCAGCCAGGGCACTGAAAGGTGAAAGAGTGAAACTGTTTTGCCATTCGCGCCGCAGACTCAACAGCCACGTCACTCGACAAAGACCGTTCATCATTCCAGCTTATAAAGTGGGCTGCAGGATCCTGTGGCTTTTACGAGGCCCTAAGCTTGAGACATGAAGCTGAGCTGCGAGTGACCATCCTTTTGTGGGGTCGCTTGTCGAGTGATCTCTGCTGTGGTCTCCGGCCACTCGGGTCATCAGATTACGACGATGGTGGCTGGAATTGGCGCACGCTCATCATGTGATTGTTGGTGCCTGCATCGAAAGCAAGAGCGAGATGATCGGAGAGAGAAGCACGACTGAACGTTGTTGGCAAACGCAATCCTCAACACAAGGATGATGATGATCATCATCATCTTCTTCATGATCATCGTCAACATCACTATTATGATCCTGATGGTAATAATGACGGCGAAGACATCAAGCATCATCATCGTTCTGACTACTGACGCCTTTCCGTTGCGGCATCTTCTCACCCTGTTATTTCCCCTAAACCCTCTTTGCATCCAGGCCTATTTCGACTAAACCCTAAACCCGCCTAAACCCTAAACCATCGCCTCATCGGCCGGAGAACGAAACCTGAAACTCCCAACATGCTCAGACCAGTGCCTCCCTCTGGCGGCGTGGTGTTCCACTGAATCTGGGTCGCGGCTCAGGCTTTTGGGTCTACTATAAGAGCCTTAATACTTAGAATAGAGTTTTGGGGTCCATGTCACTATAATTATAATCACGAACCCCGAAAATAGTATAGGTCATTATGATGGCCCCTCTATCAAGGAGTCTTGGGTGTAAGACGATTGGGAACTGAACTCGCATGTGTCCTCTGAAAGACTTTCTTCCTTGAACGAACGCTGACGAAGTAGCATTACCCATCCGTGCAGAGCAGGTCACCGTGGTCTTTATTCGGGCTTCTCGGACCTGTTCGGAATCTCTAGATCTCGAGGTAGTCACGCTACTGGAGAGCCAGTACATTTCTCGTTTCCTACAAATCTTACCTACACCTGCTCGAAAAAGTATAGAGCAAGATTCCGATTCACACCTGGGCTGTCCAAGGTTACCACGTCCCAAAACATGTTCTCATAATGCAGGTGCAGGGGGCGAAGTGCGTAGAACAGGGTTTGGACGTAGTTCTCTTTTGCCATATTCGCAAGCAAGTAGATAGTAAGTAGTTGTTTTCAAGACTCGTATATTCACCTGTGCCGATTGGGCGGAGAACCTTCAGCATCATTGAACCCCGTTCACCCTGGTCATTGCTACAGACACCTCAATACTTCGCCATGCAATTGCGACTGGAACGCCAAAACTTGTTAAAGCCCCCCACAAAACTCAGGTGCCAGTAAGGCAAGGTCAAGAAACCAGGACAGCTGTGATGTCGTCACAGTAGTCGCCACAAACATGGGCCCATCGCTTGCGGCTGGCTGTCGTGATGAACTCAACCTGTCATTCGCTGCGGGACTCAGGGACTCGGAAGGTGCATTTGCGAAGCAAGCATTTGGCCTTGAGGTTTCGAGGCTAGATCTAGAATCTAGTTTGCAGCATCAACAAAACCCCTCTATAGTGGTGCCAACACTGGAGTGATTTTAGTTTCCTCGCGGACAAGCATGCGAAACAAGAGTCCCCCCAAACTACACAGGCAACATGAGCGTTCAAAGTTTGATTTGAAGCTGTCCGCGGGGTCGGCATTCAAGTGTTAAATGCTTCCGTGTCTGAACCGCCCAACTCAAAAATCAGACCTGAATGCCGTCAAAAGCAGAATCGAAACCCCTTAGCTCTGCCAAAAACAGACCAAATGCTCTCCAAGGTGCTGTTTCTCTTGGACCCTTCAGCCGAAGCTTCTTGGAAGTGAGGCTGCAGCATTCCTCGCCTTCTATGAACTCCTCGGATGAGGATTTGGGCTTCGGCTTCGGTGTTTTAGAGTTTGAGGGTTCCATCGGTATTGCTTGTTTTCCGTGTGGCTTCTGGCTAGCCGAAGCTCAGCTATCACAGTAAACCAAGATCTGTCGTCGCAGGATGCTTCTGACGACAGCTCTCAATGCACGTGTCACACACACACACACACTTAGCACCGGAGGGATGGTCAACCTAATGGTGTAGCTGTGAGACCTTGCTCGTCGACATGTTCACTACGATGAAGTGCCGACGAGGATCCCAGATGCCATCAGATGCCACAATGGCATACCACTGGTCGTTCGGCTGCATCAAGAACTTGTGGTACTCTGGATCGCGGGAAATGCCAGCCTCCGACTCCGACTGTCTTGTTAGACTTCAGGAATGTTGCATTTGCTTTTGAAGGGGGGGCGGCCGGCCCGTAGTCTAAGTCCATCGAACTACCAGCGTTTAACCAGCCATGCGAACCCTCGCAAAAGTAGTTTGGCTCGAATTATGGGGGCGCTTGGCCGACGAAGCCAGCCAGGAAGATACAACAAGCATCATTGAATTTCAGATGTTGCCACATACCCAGCTATCCGGAGAGGGTTTCGCATCATCCGAGATCCGAGCTCCAAAGCAACAACAACCTGCATCCGAAACCACTGCGAACCGAACGCTGAACCCTCAACTACCCAAAGACTCCAATATCCCTTTACTAAGGAATATCCCTTAAATTATACCATATTAGCGATCCTACTATACTTTCGAGTATATACTTTATTAAGCAATGTTGGAATCTCTGGGTAAACAATCCACCACCACTTCAAAAGCCCTCGGACACAGCCTCGGCAATTTGCAAGCTTGAAGCCCAGTTGGAGCCCATTAGCATCCCACGATGCACTGACTCCTTACACAATCCCAACACCTTACCCTACAGTAGAAGCCAGAAAGTTGGAATATCATTATCGTAACCCCTTTAAGGTAAATTATAGGGGATCCTACCATGAAACCATATTCCAACTTTCTGGAGTTCCCTTTAGAATGTTGCTCACGCCCCTTTACAAATCCCGGCAAGCCTGAAGCTGCAACAGCAGGTTGGAAAACCAATACGCCGGACGTTTTAACAAAAGACTAAAAAGCAGGAAGTGAACCCTCAGGTGTTCCTGAAAGGCTTCACATTACATTGTGTTATATTGTGGTACATTGTACTGTGCTATCTGATCTTTTCATTCGTTGCTCTGCTCTTCTCTTGTTAGCAGTTCTAATACAGTTTTGCTATATGTTGTCATATGGCGACCTTTCTGATATTACATGTGTTCTCATGTGCTAACTTGTAAATAACATTTCCTTTCCTGTAGTTGCACCTTGTATGTTCTACCGCCAGATGATATCCGAAACACAAAGTGCTCAACCACGCATGTGTCCAGGGTTCCGGGCGCAGGCCGTGTCTCCAAACGCACGGGACATCGTGAGTCCCGGGAAGTTGGAGCCTGATATTTGGCGTGTTTGCTTTCTATTCTTGTGTGCTGCCGACTGCAAGTACATGACTATGCAATCAACAGAAGCCGTAACATTAATGTAGACTCCTGGTCTATAACCTCCCTTTTTCTGAGATATGAGGGGCCTGAATATTCGGATCCCTATTGAATATAGATAAGCATAGAGAAGCGAATATAAGTTTAAATAAAGGCATGAATAAAAGTGTATCTCTAGACAGATAATATAGGCATGGATATAGGTATATGCCTTGTGAAGGAAGCGGGCTCAATACGTATAGTGAACCTCAGAAAACTGGAACATACATTTGGGATACTTAGTGCTGGGATCCCCTAAACTCAAGGGCACGAGGATACTGATGTCCCAACTTTCTGGCTTCTAATTTCAGACTCATGAGCCCGCAGGGTTCAGGTTTTCAAGTCTTAGCTCCCTAAACCCTAAACCGCTCACGGAGAGAAGACCACGCTGCCTCAATATGGGTGTGTCGGGGCTTTGGGGTTTCAGAGAGTGGAGGTTTCCACGGGTTGCGACGAGGGTTTACCCTCTCACAACTCGGTCATGCCAGGGTTTAGGGTTTAGAGGAAAGCCAGCTTCGAATTCAGGCTTCGCTTTTCGCTGTCTTCGCGATGTTTCTTTGGGAGTTTTCATCTAGGGAATCGAGTTTGGCCGGATGATGTTATGCATTGGAGCTTCTTTTAAGTGGGATCGAATGGTTGCAAGGGTCAGCTCACCTCGGGGCCGGAACACATCACACTGACACTCTACTATCATGTAGGTGTGGACCCAGCTAGTTTCGGGTTCTTTCGGGCTTGAGGACGTGGATCTCTCAAACCAAAAATGCTGGCCCTCCGCTCCCTTCAGAAAGCGAAAGCCTAGACCCTAAACCAGCTCCCCACCCGCAGCTAGAGCTTAGAAGGCTTCGGTGCCCAACCTAAAGCCCTTGCAGCCCTGCAAGCACTTTGTCTCCGAACCAACTTCATGCCTAGACCTCTGACACCCAAACCATTGAGCCCCAAGTCCGCACCCTGAGCCCGTAAACCTCTTGCAAGCTACACCCCTAACTAATATAATAGACGCCAGTTCCCTATTCTAGGTAGTAGAGGCCCCGGTAAATCACCCTTATTATAATGGTCCTCATAGAAAAAACTAACCCCTCCTTCTACAGGAGCCCTATTCTATTTGTAGAAACCCCTATCTTGTCCCCTGCCTTTCAAGTAGATCCGCCAGCTGCCCTCATCTACCTCCCTCACTTCGCTTCCTTCGGCCTCCAACCGTGCCTCCGCTTTGGGTTCTTCGGTTCAGGCATATTGTTGTGATTATTAAGGTTTAGGGCTTGGGGTTTAGGGATTACTGTCATAATTGAGAATGCGATCATTTCGTCTTGTCGTTATTGTCCTAATTGTTTTGACAGGGTTCCGGATGGCCCGAAAGCCCCTGCAAGTCTGATAGGGCTTAGGACCGCTTACGCGTATAGGGCTGTCGCAATTTGTTTAGAATTTAGAAGATGTCCGGCTGAAGGCCTGAGGGATCCTCTTCGCATGCTGCTGTGAAGGTGTTCTACGGCTCTGTAGGGTTCTTACTTTTATGAAAGCTTTAGGACCGCAGAACTTCGAAGGCATAAACCCTTGTGAGAACGATCCTAAGTGTATGTCGAGAACACCGCACTGCTCAATAATTGCAGCCCTCCATGTCGAGCCCGAAAACCTAAGGCCAAACGCTGACACTGATCCTTCAAACCGAAGTCTGACAAAAAGACATCATACCCCTACCTTAACAGCCTTAACCTACCAAAACCTGCCTTTTTTGGTAGAGTCCCTATAAAATTCCATAATGGGGTTTATGGTAGGAACCTCCAAAAAAATCGGGTTTGGTAGGTTCAGGTGCCTCGCAAACCCCTAATACAGGTGAACCTGCGATGACATCTTCTAACCTAAGCCTTGGACTCGTCAACCTTGAATCTGAATACACCTACGACTATTTGGGAGTTTCCGAAATTTGGGGTCCTTATTTTGGGGTCCTTATAATAAGGATCCTATAGTATTTAGGGTGCTATATTAGGGTCCCCTACTATTTTCGGAAACTCCGATTTGACGCCCTTTATTATACCCTAGCAACCGAACACCCCACCCGGCAACTTGAATCTTTAAAGCCTGAATTCCGAACATCCTAGGAACCCTTGTAGCAACGCTTATGGTCCAATTATTGTAAGCCTTGTCGAACCCTCATACCCTAAATCCGACAGCCTGGGCAAGCTTAGACCTTCTGACCGCCCAAACCCTGGAACCCTAAACCTTCAACGGTACCAGTCCTGCACAACCCTTGTATGAACGCTCAAATCCCTCTCCAACCCTGAAAAGCCCGATCTAAATCCCACCAAAATACCCAAACCTTAGAACTTGTTTGCATCAGGACTTGTGCAAACCCCTGAACCCCTTTTTGCAGCAGGCCTCGTTGTCCAGCAGCCCGGTTACAGCAAGAGCCCCCCTTTCCCCCGCTTCTTCAAAGCGCCCCTAAACCCCTAAACCCTAAACCCCTTACCCCCTAGACCCCTGAACCCCTAAACCCTAAACCTCACACCTTGCATCCCCAAACCCTGGAACCTAAAACACGCACACGTCAAAGGCCCACGGACCGGCCTTCTCTTCGGGAAGCTCAGGTTTGTGGTCCTGTGTGTGTGTGTGTGTGTCTGTCTCTGTGTGTGTGTGTGTGCGTTTTTGTTTGTGTTTGTGATTGCACGTGTGCGTTTTGTTTTGCTTGTGTTTGTTTGTGTTTGTTTGTATGGTTGGTTGTTGATTTGCTTGTCAGTTTGCTTGCTTGTTTGCTTTGTTGCTTGCTTGCTGGCTTGTTTGCTTGCTTGTTTGATTGATTGTGTGTTTATCTGCTTGATGGTTCGTTTGTTTGCTTGCTTGGGTGGGTGGACGGGTGGGTTGGTTTGGTTATGCTAAGCTTGGTTTGCTGTGGTTTGCTTGTTTGTTTGTATTTGCGTGTTCGTGTGTGTATGCCTATATACATATATAGACATTTGTGTACACACAGATAACTATAGAAAGATAGATGCATTGATTCATGTATACAGTTTTGGAGACTCTGGAGTGCAGAACCGTAAAATTTCAGTTCATGGCCTAACAACTTACGCTTCTGAGCAAGATTATGTCGAGCAGCTGGTGGTAGCCCGTGGAACTGGCTAGGATGCCTCTGGGAGATTCTAGTTTAAACCGTAAGACGACGCTGATGAGGCTGTTGAGGCGGTGTAGAAATAACGAACCAACTCTCCCCGAGGCTGTACCATTTCCGAAATTAACTCGCCTTCCAGAGGTATCTCGGGCTACCTCTCAGCTACGGGGTTTAGGCAAACCAATCTCAGCACCACTGGCCCCACATCTAGTGCCTCGGAAGACTTAAGCTGCGTAAAGCTGCATGCTGTGTACACCTACTGGATTTCCCCAAAATCAAAAACATCAGAATGACCTTGAGAATCGACACTAAACTGGTCAATCAAAGCGTGCACGCGAAGACTTAAATTGCAGAGGCCCTTTGATCGCAATTGAAACGACACCTTCCGACAAACCACTCGCAGTCCTTGGTACAGAAGATCATGCGCGAGTCCCGGCGATTCCATGACCCGAGCATGATCCGTGCATCGCCGATGAAAGCAATGTGAACCTAGGCAACCCAGGACGTCAAGTTCCAAGTTAGGTGCCGGTATGAATGGCAAGAATTATGACTCTATGACTAATCATTCTGACCCGCACAGTCTTCACCTCCGAGCTGAAAACTAAACCCAAATGCCTTTCAGCAGCGGACCTCTCAAGAGTCTAAATCCAACTGCAGGTAGCCTCTGGAAAACATACGTTAGTGCTACATGTATGTCCTATATCATAGCGTAGACAATCCAGCTCAGCTTCCTCACTAGACTTCCTCTGCTGGTCGCGGCTTCGGGCCATGGGCCTGGAATTCGGGAAGGGACACTCGAGTCCGTTGCTGTGTATCCCTAACCGGTTTAAACCCTAAGCCGCAATGATGTAGAAATGGCCACAGCCCAGCCTCGACGAGGAGTACACGCCAAGCATCCCACCATCCCAGCCTGTCAAAACCTTCTAACCTGAAACCAAAAGCCTGAACATCCCCAGCACCCTTGAAACGAAAGATCCTAAGATGCCCTTAAAGCTTAAAAGGCCGAGCTGCCGTCTGTTCCTCCAGCACCAGGCAGGAGCCCGCCGCTCCGGAGGCTTCGATGTTGATGTTCTGCTCACGGCCTCGGGGGCTCGGTTCAAGGCTCCCGAGGACCCAAGCTTCTTTACTTGGAGGGGCAGGGGACTTAGTAAGTAGAGTTATAAGTACCCTAAATGGAGTTACCCCAATCATAACCCTACTTAGAACCTACTTACTACGTCCCCTGCCCCAAGTAGGTTTTCACTTCGAGGCTTAAGGGCTCAGACCAGTCTCGAAATGTAGGGCCTGGGCGATTTGAGGAAGCAAATTGGGGGTCCGGGCGGTTTAGGGTTTAGGGTTTAGGGTTTTGGGTTTAGGGTTTTGGAAAGGTATTCAAGGAATAAAGAAAGGGGTTTGTCAGGTGTCCAGAAGTACTTATAGGATGTCTCGAAAGGCTTTCATGGTAGGGGTGCATTACAGTATGACTGTATGGCTATATATGGACAGTACGGAATATAATATTACCGGCTGGTCAGAACGGTACATGGACCAGCCCTTTCCTTACGAAACGCTTGGTTTGATTGGGGAGACGCCGAGGGAACCCCTCCTGCATCAAATCCGAAACCTTACATCCTGAAGCCTTTTGCATCCGAGCTTGGGAAGTCGCCGCAAAACCCCAACATTAAACCAACCCTAAACCCTGAACCCTAAACCACGACTTCTCCGAGGATGCCTTGGATGATCACATGTGATCTAGGCTCTAGACACAGATGCTAGCCTGGGCTTCTTTCCCATATCCTTAATATACCGAAGATCGGTGTCCATTCATCTTCGCCTGGGGACCCTGTATTGAAGAAGTCAGGCTCCGACCCCAAAATCATGCAGGGATCCAAATATTTACCAGCACTGTTTTGGAGTTCCTGATTCTAAATATAGACAAACACACCCCACAACCCTATTCCAATCATTAAGGCTCCTGTACTATGTGGCTTCAGGCCTTACACAAACGACTCAAGAATCAGCCTCAGCATGTCAGGAAGCTCAAGACGCAAGCCGGAAGAACGGCGGTATTCAAGGCATGTTTAGCTGGTGATACTAAGTGTGTTTACAGTCCATCAACCTGGCATGGCAACCAAGCATTCAAGCCCAACGTTTTTGGTCAGTTCTGGTCATACTGATGATCATGTGTATATGAGACGGACGTCCCATTCCCAGTCCTACCGTACGTCTTCAGCTGCCACTGCTGCTACTGAAAATTACTACTTACTTCTACTGCTACTGCGACGACGGCAACAACGACCACCACTTCTTCTTGGCAAACTGCCGCCATCACCAGCACCAGCATCAGCACCGCCGCCACCAAAACCGCTACCACTAGTAGCAGCATCATGACGACTACTGCGGCTACCGGCTGGCCGAGGTGCAAAAGTTCTCCAAGTCTTCCTGGGCAGGTTGCAGGCCTTTTTGTGTCTTTTTGCCTAAAGCGTTGAGGGTTTAGGATCTGCCTGGTTTGGTGCTGCAGGATGGAAGGCTGAAGCAACGCGGTCGAGCTTTCATCTTACTCGCACAATTTGGTTGGGCAGTGGGGTCACACTCGCACAAGGCAGGCAAGTCAAGGCTTCACCGACAAGCGTCCGTCCTGGCTCACCTTCGATTTGGGATCTTGGCGTTAAATTTTTCCTGTGCGTCCGGGTAGTCTCCTGGCGTCTCCTGCTGGTGGTTCCGTTGAAGGGATCCTGAACAAGGGTCCTATTCGGGTTACTAAACTGGGTATTATGGGGATGTAATATAGGTAATATGGGTCTACTTGTGGTCGTTGTCATTTGGTCGCGCTCGTCCTCGTCGTAGTGGCCGTCGTGCTGGTCATGGTCGTCTTGGTCGTGGTCGTCACAGGAGCCAAGGTGCTCTATCACTTTTGCAATCGTTGCTGGCATAATGCTTGGCAATGACCCTTGAGAAAAGTCTGACAACGAGTGCCGAAACCCTTGCAGTGAATCGACATTTGGGAGTTTCCGAAAATAGGGGACCCTAAAATAGTACCCGAAATATTAGGATCCTTATTATAAGGACCCCAAAATAAGGTACCCCTAATTTTCGGAAACTCCCATTTCGGAGTTGGAGACTGTTTTCGAAACTCCCACTCTGCGAAACTCCAAAACAAGAAGTCCGGGTCCTGGACCAATCGGCCATAAACCGAACTGTGCTTTGGAGTACCTCTTCCCCCCCAAAACCTCAAACGGTACAGCAAAAACCCCTGAAGCGCCAACTGAGACCCTCGTTCCCCACCCCTCCTACTTTGCAGCCCGCTTCCCTCCCTTGTGATTTAGGGTTCAACCGAAACCCGCACTGCTCTGTTTTGAACCAGACACACCCACCATCAGGGACGATTCGGCTCGAGGGTTAGCAGTTTCCCAGAGACTCCAATATCCCTTAATAAGGGAATATACCTGAGATCATATTAAGGATCCTACTATAACTTAAGGTATATTCCTTAATTAAGCGATACTGGAGTCTCTGGGTTGTAATATTCCCACTCCCCCCGCAACTCTGCCCGCCTGTGCTTTGGCAAACGCCTCCTGGAGTGCCAGTTCCCAGTTCTTGGCGAAGTGCTCACTCTTCGTCAGGAAATACCTTGTAGGACTTTATATGCTTCATGGTTGGGATCGATCAAAAATTTGAAGTTTTATTCCTTGTTGGGCTTAAGTACCCATAAAAATGTAACATGCCACCCAACTATGCTAAAGTTATGGCCTTGAAGGACTTATGCCGGGTTGAACAAAGTTTCCTCCTACCCTGGTCTACGCACTGTGGCCCGCAAAGTACGCAGTTTAGGTGTGATGGTTCCATTGTTGAGGATGCTTGCTTCTAGCCGCGGGGCTGCCGGGGGAGATGAAATCTGACTCAAAAGCCGTCTGGCTAAAGCAGAGCGCAAGCTCTTAAGGGAATTCAACCCCCCACAGCATCACAACTGAATACCCTAAACCCCAAACCCTAAGGAGATGTGAGAGGCTGCGGCTGTTTCCGATTGCTATTTGCAACGACGGAACGTTGTTGTCAGATGACTATGGCAGCTTCCAGTACTGGAGCGAAGGAATCATTATTATTATTACTATTATTCTTATTATTATTACTATTACTATTACTACTACTACTACTACTATTACTATTACTATTACTATTACTATTACTATTACTATTACTATTACTATTACTATTACTATTACTATTACTATTACTATTACTATTACTATTATCCCTAAATCCTCCCTCTGAGGCATTACAAACCCAACCACTCAAACACACACACGCACACACACACACACACATACACACACCCCTGTCTGTCTCGCCTACCAAGCTCAAGAACCAAACTAAGCGATCATACAAGCAAAGTACTTACTGACTACAACATCTCCGTTCATGACACCTGTAAGTGAACGCACGTAGCTCTTTGCACAATTAATGACCCAGGACGTCCCTGAAAAATGCTAGCGGATGCTAGCATTAGGACTACATGACAGGGCCCCCCCCCCCCCAAAGCATATGCATGCAATGTCAGCGTTACGTTGGCTACTCGGGGGGCTGGGGCCATAGCCTGCGGCGAGATGCGGAATGGTCTGCACAAGTCGGAAAGACACGAGGTGACCGAAGGGGCCGTGGCCGTCACAAACACCGTACATTGTTATTGCCCCCACGTGGTGCACGAAGAAGTTGTCCTGCACATGGGTTAGTGTCCACGGTGCCATGCATCACAGGTGCTATGTAGGTCATTATGAATTAAGGACACAAGGCTTCAAACGCCGAGCAACATCCTTGGCAATGGATTCAATAGCCCACGGCAAGAGCCCCTCTGAGTCTCCCCTCAGACATGGGTGGAGCTCTGCACGAGTTGATTCCTTGAGCATAGCCTTGCCGGAAGTAGCTGAATTCAAGAGAGCATAGCAGTTGCGTCCTGGTTGGGGGTTGGATCCGAAGCAGACTTTTGGCCTCAGATGGGTGGATGAATCAACGCAAAGGATGACAGCTCTGCGGTGCTAAGCATACACCAGGTCTATCAAACGCCCAGCCGTCAGGGCCAGTTTCCTGCCATGCGGCCCTTCTGACAGATCACGGCAATCTCGGTGGCCTGCAATGTTCCGCACGAATCAAGCGCAACCCCGTATAATCCCGTATACTGTATACAACACATCGATACCTCCCTGACAGAAGCAAGCCTTTGCTTGAGAATCGCACAGCCCGCTTCCAAAAGCCGTTATACCCGATGTTGCCAGCACGGCGCAGTGGATGTCGCGGCAGTCATGAGAGTAGTGTCTGTCTGTCTCTCTCTGGGCCCCTCACAGACTCCAGTCGATCAGGCTACATAGACTAAACTTCACGTGGACTCTCTCGCTACCTTAATCCTGAAATACCTGACTTTTTACCGTTCCTTATTTTGATTTCCTTATATAAGTCCCTAAAAAGGTAGGTTATTCGGGGTTAAGGTAGAGCTGAAAGGTGACATCGACTCAAGTAGGCCGATGCTCCCGAAGCCGGACCTGTCCAGGCCCACAGTCCCAAGCCCGAAACCATTTTGGGGGGTCCTTATTATCGTTAAGAGTATAATATAACCCAAAAACCTAGTCAGGCCCTATTCTAATTATCAAGGCCCGTATACTATATAACCACGCGCACGACATCTAGCGAGAAGTATTCGACCCGCACCCCCAAACCTGAGCTAGGAGACGCTTTTAAAGCCTTTGAAAAAACATTAGTAGGTAAGATCCTCTTAAGCCCAATAAGAGCAAATATGAGATGTCCCAAAGCCCTACCTAGTTCGGCCTGCTTCAGCTTCGTGGCAGCCTGCCAGGTGTAAAAGTCCTCGTCTCCTGCATCCCCACGGAACCGAAGTTGGCCTTTGAGGCTTTGCAAGAAGTTTCCGAAAGACTAACCACCAAGTCGACAGCCCCCTCGGAACCGCAATAAAAACTTTGTCTACGATAAGTGACCGCTTGCGGTGCCTTTTATTGGCTACAGATACGTAAGCGTAAACTTAAACGGCCTATATACACTATCAAGGCACCAGAATGAACAGTGGCAGCCTGCTGCTACGAACCTCCAATCACTCGTGATTGCATGCACAGGAGTGCAGACAAACGACAGAGCTCAACACTTGCACAACCAACCGGTAATCGCAGCACAGATCGTGAAAGGCGTCGTCGTCTCAGAACAGGAAACGCAATGAAACCCCAACCCCCAACAGCCCAAACACGAATTCAAATTGAGTTCTTCGTGTCGAAGTGTTGAGTAGTGCTGGATGACCCAGAAACACAATATCATAATGTGATGTGAGAATGTATATCTGTATGTATACACATACATAGATACACACATACATGCATGCATACATACATAAACTCACACGTATATGCCTACATACATATACGTATATACACACACATACCTACATATGCGGTCACCATCGGTCACCCCTGCATATATAGATCATATAGGTATGTACATACAGGAGCACTTGTATACACATTTGTAAAATAAAAATTACCCCTCTACACAGAGGTTTGTTCTATCTACATGTGTATTTATAAAGCTCCAACTCATAGGTCCATGCATCCATCCGAACATACAAATTCTACAAACTACGACAAACTGGAGGCATGGATACGTGTATGCATAGCTGCCTACCTGAGAACCTACCTAGCACGCGGGCCCGCATACGCACGCAAGTAAAAAGAACAAGAGCGAGAGAGAGGGAGAGAGAGAGCGAGAGAGAGAGACCTGAACTGTCCCAGTCCTCGCTGACCTTTCTCGAACTTCGTTCGGCAGTGAATGTGCTTGTCCATCGTGAACTTCTGACCCGGCACTACGCCGCCGAACATCATCACGGAAGCCTGGGTCTGACTTAAACATTCACACCGCGTACTGCCGCCGAGGCCGTGCAGAAGGTGCTGAACACCCATACTAGCATCGTAGTAGTAGCAGTAGCCGCAGTATTCGTAGTATTCGTAGTATTCGTAGTAGTAGTAGTAGTAGTAGTGGCAGTTGCAGTAGCAGTAGCAGTAGTTGTCGTAGTAGTAGTCGTCGTCGTAGTAGTAGTAGTAGTAGTCGTCGTCGTCGTCGTGGTAGTGGTAGTGGTAGTGGTAGTGGTCGTGGTCGTGGTCGTGGTCGTAGTAGTAGTAGTAGTACTACTACTACTACTAGTAGTAGTGGTGGTGGTAGTGGTAGTGGTAGTGGTAGTGGTAGTGGTAGGGGTAGGGGTAGGGGTAGGGGTAGGGGTAGCGGTAGGGGTGGCAGCAAAAGAAGTAGTAGCAGTAGTATTCGTGGTGGTGGTGGTGGTGGTGGGGGTAGTAGTAGTCGCAGTAGGCATGCAATGGTAGTAGTTGTTGTTGCTGTGCAGCAACCGCAGTAGCAAAACCTGGTAAGATGACCTTCGCACGCAAGTATGATAATGATGGTCCTGATGACTCCAGCAATGATAGCTAGCAGCAGACTGAGTGAGCATGAGCATTACCACGATGGCCGCAACCATCGGAAGCGCTGTGGTCCTCACGATCCTCCTCATCATCCACAGCTTCACCATTGCCACAGCAACGTGGCAAGAAGAAGTAGAAGCAGCCACACATCCGAAAAGTCAAAACCCCCGGCCATCGACTAAAAAACTGAGACTACTCAACCCCTGGTGTGGGGCTCTCCAAAAGTTCGAAGAAGCCCACACGCCCTCCCCGGAATACACGAAACAAGAAATTCAAAGCCACCCACCCCTGCAACCGAGGTGCATCGTCGACCACATGGGCATCGCTGGGTGTTACAAGTGCTGGGTTCTTGAAGTCCTCACGTGCTTGCTTTGATCCATATATAAGATGGCCGTACTTACATTGATGAGTGCTTGTATATAACTCAATTGCAGACAATGGGCCTATATTTCGGAGTACCTACAGCTCTATGACTCTAATATATAGCTACCTATGAGCCATTAGCCTTTGACTCTCAAGGGAAATGAATGTTCGAACCTATGTGGAGCTGCATGGAAGTAGCAAAATTAGTTCGAACTTTTACGCGCACATTTCACTGGATGCAATTCTCTCATTATATGTTATATATTTAGACCGCTATGTTAAATGACGGGTCATTGTTTGGTCAACCCCTGTATTATTCGATCTCATACTAAACCGTATCAAACACTAGCACATGAACCCTGAACCGTCTTCTCTAATTTGCCTGAACGAACTAAGGACCTTTGGCCGCCGGAGACACCGTCCGGCTAGAATGGCAACCCAAAAAAACTCGCTTCAAAATAGACAGAGGGAGTGGATGCTGCAGGGCATTGGGCTACCCTACAACCCTTCAAAGCAATCCCCTATTGAAGTCTTTTCAAACACCCTAGAGCAGCGGCATATAAACTAAGAAAGTCCCATTAACCCTGTAAACTCTCTTTAAACCTCAACCCTAAAAAGCCCTAGATCTGCCATCAACCGCATAAACCCCATGAGCGCCAAACCCTCCCCATTAAGCTCCCCAGAGACTCCAATATCCCCTAATTAAGGAATACTCCTTATAAACCATAATTAAGGATCCTACTATAATTTAAGGTCTATTCCTTGATAAAGGGATATTAGGATCCCCTAAACCCTATAGATCCCTTATAGATCCCTTAAAGGAACTCTATAGGTATATTCCTAAATTAAGGGATATTGGAGTCTCTGGGATTAAGCCCCGGTCTCCTGCGCAACCTTGTCTGCGAGGGTCTCCGCAGGAGCCTCGCTGGCTGCCTCGCTCACCACCTTCTTCCTGAGCTTAGAACTCATTGGATTCTAGAAGGGTTCTATATGGCGTATGGGGCTCATCGGGTTCTATAACAATTAAGGGCTCTATCAGGGATATTCTTCCTGAGCTTAGAGCTCATTGGGTTCTACAAGGGGTATGGAGCTCGTCGGGTTCTATAATAAGGGTTCCTATCAAGGGTATAGCCCCGTCTTCCTGGGTCTAAGGCTCAGCGCGCACTACAAAGAGTCTAACACCTTCTTACTGTGTTTAGGGCTCATGGAGTTGTATAGGGGTTTCCGGTAAATTTTACGACGAGGGGTATGACACCGTCTTCCTGGGCCTGAGGCTCGTACAGGGTTCTAAAAGGGCTCCTTTGAGGCTAATATAATCTACTATTTGCTTAAGAGCCCCCCAAAAATAAAAATATATATTCCTTATGGGGGCAATATAGGGATTATTATGTTTTATTTTTTGGGGGTTTCTTAAGCAAATAGTAGTAATTTAAGGCGTTCTTCCTAGATTTGGGGCGGGTAGGAATCTCGAGTTCAGGGTTGACCAAATAGCGAGTTCGCTTGATATTTTGCTGGCAAAGGGCTGAGGGTTCATAGGGGTTAGTGTATAGGAGTTGGGGTTTCAGGCTGAGGGTTTAGGATCAACAGCGCTTGCCGGCATGGTTTAGGCTGAGGGGCTCCCAAGCTTCGTTTAGGGTTTAGGGTTCGTCGAGCAGCCAAGGTTCAGTCACAGGAGCTTATGGGGTTTAAGGTTCTCACACACGGACAGGCCAAGTAAGACTTCTTCATAGTTGATAAGTGCCGGTCCATTCATGGGCTAGTTTCAGAACCTCCCCTCTTGTTCTAGGGTTGATCTTCGGGGGTGTAGAAGGCTCAGGGTTTAGGGTGGTCCACGGTTGTGGGGTTCTCGTGCTCAGGGCATGTAGCTCTTCCGCTGCATCGTCGTGTGAAGAAGTCTTCGGCTCCGCTGTCTGGGGTTTCCGTGCAGCCGGATAGGGCTTTTCCTCTATAAGCCCATGAGAAGCATTATCAACGCATGATCTGATGCGTGGGGGATTGATCTCGACTAGGTTGCTGCTCTCCCCACCAGAGCTGTAATGAATGTAGATGTGGCTGGCTTGCACTCTCCACAGACTGGACCCTGTCTCTCTCACACTTCCACACGTGCAATCCTATGCAGGCAGAACCGGCGGCCGTTCCTTTTGCACTCACTGCCGGCGGCGGTTCGTCTGTGCAACGGGATAGCTCTGATTGCTCAGGATAGAAGACACTTATAGCACTTAGCTATGGGCATTGACTTGAGCCAAACGTTGCGTGGGCGGTCACATAGAAAGGTAAAGATGAGGGACGCGTAGCGTGCCCCCTTAGAGTCGAGGGACGCGTAGCGTGCCCCCTTCTCTTGCACTTTACACGGTCTTGCTCACAGCTCTTATAGTGACACCTTAGAACTTGACAAGGCATCGCAGTCCGTTCGCACCCCCCATGAGTTGCGTCTCCGACGCTGCTCACCCGGAAGATGGCACGATAGGACAACAGAAAATGTTCCGCCGCAACGTTGACATTGAAAATCAGAGCTTTGCATCCCAATTAGAAACGTTGTGACACTCATCTACGTCAGTAACGATCCCCTGAAATGGCAAACGAATCAGGCGTCACCGAAGAAAGAAGCATTCGCGATGGCATTCCATGGGCGAAGCTCAGAGGTCACGAACTGATAGGCGAGGAAGACCAAGCGTTGATTCATCTCCATCTTCGCGTGGTCGCAGGATCGCGGTCCCAGGGCCGGAGGTTTTCCTCTGGATACTGTTCCCTTTGCTTTCCTTTGTCCTTGCCTTTGTTTCGGCCTTTGCCGGCGGTGTAGTCATAGTAGGTGTTGGCGTTCCAGCCTCCATGCTGTTCACCTCCGGTTCTCTCACGCCCTTTTGAAGGTCCCTTGGCCGAAGAAGCGCTTGCACGTTCCTCCGTAGTGACAGGCGTGTCCAGGATGGAAGTACCACCTGGAGGGAGATAGTCAGCGGCCGAAATGTGGTGTAGGGCTTCAGTACGCTTGGTCGTCGGGTTTTGCTGTCTCTCAGCCTTGGATCTGTTCAATCTGTCCATGAAATGCGCAGGCATTTGCACATTGTGGTCCACCAGCAATCCAATGGTCTGGACTGAATGATCGGCATGAGTCAGCAGGATACCGACGGGGTCGATGTACAAGAAGTCCACCGGTCCAGTTGGCGTTGGTCGTAGCACTGAGAATTGTTGGTGTCCTGTCACCATCGGAATCACCTCGCACAGGACGTTCAGGCAACAAAAGTGCATAGCCTTCACATCTTCATCCCTGTTGCTCTTCAAGTACGTAGTAGGGTTGAAGTTGTCCCTGCCAATTCCCATCATGTTGGCTCCCCGCGTAAGCAACGAAAGCATCTGATTCGTCCGGAAGCGCATCAAAGTGTAAGTCCCGTTGGGATCGTACTGCTTGAGGTTCTCAGGCTCCTTGGCAAAGCGAATGATCTCCTCATCAGTCACATCCCTGCTCACACCCGTCTCTCTGTCCACTACAGCCAAAGATCCCCACTTTCCGAGCACATCATAGCGTTGGCCAAGTGCGAAATTCTCCTTCATCTGAAACAGCGGCATAGTAGCCCACTTCGCGAATCCTGACCAAGCCTTGTAGATGGTCCTGCATACCACGAAAGCCATATACGAAAGAGCGACCATGTTGGCGTCAATGCAATGGGCATTTCGCTTCCCTGAGTAGTAGGATGGCTGCATGGCGGTACGTGCGAGTTGTAGCTCAGGATCGATGTTCAAAGACTGGCCGGCGATGAGGACGGGACGGCGTTCCTGTGCAACTGCATCTGGTACTGCGTCATCAAAGTCCTCTCCTGGCTCTGTGTCCATTTCTTCATCAGGTTCCTGTTCTGGATCGTCCTCCGCGATGACAGATGGTTCTGGGATTTCCTCAGGTTCCGCAACGGTCTCTACCTCCATGGCTTCCTGCTCCTCTTCGGGCGCCTCAGGCACTGCTGCTGCCGCGGCTTCCATTGTCTGAGCAATGAAGTCACTGGGGATCTCCGTAGGAGTCTCCCGTTGTGGAGAACCTTGGTAATATCCGCTAG